TAAGCTACTATAAAATCCCGTTAATTTTTTGATTTTTTTTTCGCTGGCAGTGTTCTCCATATAAAAGAAAATTGTAAAACATACGTTTTTATGGGAAAAACATGAAATACCTTCAACCAAAAAAAAAAATTCATTTTGTGAGCTGCCTGCAAATGTTTTTTGGTGTTGGCTGTCGCTTCACCTAAACTATGAAAAGAAATTGCAAAGAATCGGCGAAAAAAGACCGATGCCGATGCCGATGCTCAATTTTGTGCCGATACTAGCCGATGCCGATGCCGATTAATCGGTCGGACTCTACATACATACCAACATGTACGTATATTGTTAAGTTTTGACAATTTTTTTTATTATTTGAATTTTTTTTATACAATTATAGTTCAATCTATAGCAATGCCCATATATGTAAATCCCAGTTTCAAACTTTGTACAATTTCTAAAAAAAATTAAAAACACCTTCGAAAAAATGTCTTGTTTTTTAATGGCATGTCTTAGAAAGATTTCGATTTTGCATTTATGTTGTGCAGTGACACGTCAAGAACAAACGAACAGTATTTTGTCAAGTCTGCACTAAAACTGAATGCATACCCAAAAATTCTGAATAAAAATATTGAAATTTTGAGGAAACTTTGCTAATTTTTTTTTATACAAAGTTTGAAACTTCGATTGTCATGGTTTTTGTTATAGAATCAACCATTTATATTTATTTAAAATAATGAAAATTAAATTGAAAAAAGTAAAGAAGTATAAGTTCGGACGAAACCGAATTTTCTATACCCGACGCAGGTATCAACTATCGTCGTTCCAACTTTCTTTATATTACCTAAAAGTCTATAGCAGTCTTATTTATTGTTAAGAGATTGTTATAAGTATTTAAGAATAAATGAATGTCCTCAGCTAGTGAAATATCGGAATTTTCATATATCCAGAAATTTTAATAATTTTCAACGAATTGCTTTTTCGTACCAAGGTTATTAAATGCACCAAGTTTGGTAGAAATAGATAAATTGGTTACCGAGATACACATTAGTGGTCATAATAATCTAATTTCCTGCTCATAATAACTATCGATTTTGAGTCAATAAGGTTCAGTAGATACTGATTTATCGCAGTTTTCGTGTTTCTGTAAATTACCGTTATTGGGAGGTGGGCGTGGCTGTTGCCCGATTTCAAAGATTTTCAACAAATTTCTTACCTGGATCCTAAGTAAAGCTCGTACCGAGTTTGGTAAGGATTGGTGAAGCGGCTACTAAGATACAGTATTTCATCATAAGTGGGCGGGGTCACGTCCCTTTTCCAAAAATGTTATAATAATATTATTTTGTACCAAAATTCTACTTTACATACTAATTTTCAACAATTTGGATCCAGTATTTACTCAAATACCATAGTTTTTGCATTTTTCGAAAATACCGGTATATGAGAAGGGGGCGTGGTTAAAGTCGGATCTCGCCCATTTTCAATAGCAACCTTGAGTAAAGGGCAACTCGGGCTATCGTGTACACGGACAGACTGACGGACGGACAGACAAACATGGCTTAATCGACTTCTCTTTTCATTCTGATCTTTTATGTATACATTTGTCTATATCTATCTCGATTCCTTTAGTCTGTTACAAACAACCGTTATGCGAACAAAGTTATAATACACTGTGCACAAGTGCTCTCGGGTATAAAAACTGTAGTACAATCAATATGAAAACGGCGATACGGTAAATTTCTGATATCTACTAGAGATGGAATAACGTGTAATTTTCTACGTGTCACGCTTTTTCACGCGTGAGCGGTTTTGAGAGAAAAATCACGTAACTTCCGTGATCGTGCGTGACTGATATTTTTGCTGGCGATGGCGTGCGTCAGTTAGATTTTCCGTCAATGACGTAATTCTCACATATTTATGTATGTATGTGTATTTTCAACCAAAATAAAATCGTTAACTACTACTGTTTAACTTAACTTAACTGTATATACGTTTAAGGAGTTCAAAGGTACAACGGATGAATCTGCAGAAAAAGTTTTTGAAGACAATAATGCGGAAATACAGATTAATTTGAAAAAATCAGAAAACAAAAGTTGTAACCATGTTTTAAAATTCTGGGAGAAAGCTAAAAATTTACCACTTCTTAGAAGCTTTTCAAGGCAAATTTTAAACATACCAGCTAGCTAAGCAACTAGTGCATGTGTTTTTTCTGTGTCAGGCAGAATTCTAGAAGAAAGACGTACACGACTGATTGGTGAAAACCTCCACAAAACATTACCTTTAAACCAAAGTATGAGCTTATGTAATTTTAAAATTATTTACATTGAATGAATATTGACGCGAATTCTTTTCTATACTCGTAGTACATATGTATGTACATATGTATGCTTGAAATTTGTTTAAAAAATAATAATAGTGCGTTATAAAAACCTATTTATGCATATGAATGCTACTTACATAAATAATGTTTCGATTTGAAAAAAAATTAGTGTGCGTGATTTACGAAACCATCAACGTAAGTGTGCGTGAAAAATGGTATAACCCTTTTCAGCGGTCCTTTAGTATATTTATGTATGTATGCTCCAAACGCGGCATTCAATATTTGTTTATTTTTTATTCACTTTTCACAATTATGCTGATGAAGAACACACATGCATACATGCAAACATACGTACATACCTATATATATATAGGTATTTACCTACAAAGATAAATACTCAACAAGCAAAATATGATGATCGCCCTAAAGGGAACACTAGCAACCGTTCGGTCGAGATTCCAAAAGTGACTTCTGGCAGGACAGTGCAACCGGCATCAAACTAATGCAACGCACTGTTCCAAAGTCTCACAAACGGCGATGACACCGACAGAGTGACGGATGAGCCGTGTCATTTGATGTTAATGTTGTGACATTTATCATCGACTCGCGTCCAAGTAGTACATGCATCCGCACATGAATGCATGTACATTAGCAGTAGGAACCTGATTATCACTGTGTGCTGGCGCTGAATTCGAAAACCGTCTAAGTTATTAGAAATTTAAGCATTTGACTCTTTCGCTATTTGGGCAGCCAGCAGAGCAAGTTCAGATGCTCACATTCTGAAGCTGGTTGATATGCTGCAAATGAGACACACTTCTAACAGCACATACCTCTATAAACATATTTTCCTTGGTTATAAATAGTGGCGTGTGACCTGATCCAACGATAACCACTAAATATGTATGCATATGTACATACATACCCAGTCGAAATTTTAAGCATACGACATCGCTGTTGGTGGCATGAACTTGCTGCTGTGTATACATGCCAATATAAATGAACCATTTAACACGCGTGGTTTCTCAGAGCGTATGCGTACCTTAATCATGCACTTGTACTACTGCTGTATGCATATGGCGGTATTAATGTTTCAAATATACAAAAATGCATTAATGGAACAGTATTAAAGCATTCTTACAAGATATGTATCCCCATATGTAAATGCTACTTTTCTGATACATTTGAATATACGGGGACATACAAACAAGTAGCATTTACATATTCAAATGCATATCTTGTAAAAGCCCGTTTGTGCTGAAAATAGTATCGCACAACACGTCTGTTCACCAAAATTTTTGTACAAGACTGAAAATATTACAAAAACTCCACTTCAAATTGATCAAGAAATGTACTTAACACAACGACAACGTTCATTCGCTTGCAATTCGCTGGAATTTGAATTTATTCGTGGACATTTATGACTACGCATGAATTGTTCACACTATTCACTCATATAGCAAGCATTCTTCACGAATGCATACAACTGATTTCTACTGGGTACATACATACCAACATAATTATTTTCTTCCCATGGGACCTATGTTCCATGTTTAAAATTGGGAAATTGTTAGCCATGTCATAACAAACTAATTCTTATTTGTTGGTTTAAATGCGTGATTGATTTGTATTGGTAGCCTCAAGTGCAAAAAAAGTTAATTATAACTTGAAAACTTAAGGAAGTGCTGAAGATATTGATTCTGAATTTAGAGTGATGAAAGATTTGTATACGTGGTAATGCAAGGCATACATACATATGTACATGAGTATGTACTATATGGATTTATATGGCTACTTGAAGTTTTTTCTCTGCACGCGATCTATTTTCGGTATACGTACATATGTATATGCATATATGTATGAGGATGTGCATTTTGATACATACATACATGCATATATGTGTATGTATAAATGTATATACATTAGAGTGGTTCAAAAAAACACTATTTTTGGAAATTCATAAACGCTACATCGAAATATTGTTATTTGCTATAAAAAACGAGACACGTATTTTTTTATTTTGAAAAAAAAAGAAAGTTTTTTAGGGGTTTTTTATAAAAACGCTGATGTTCTAAATTTTTTTTATTTTCGTGACATGTTAAAATGCATCTTAAAATGTGGTTTTTACATGTAATTACTCTGGTATTATTGGGGAACATTCCCTTAATTACATACCTGTCTTAGACAAATAGAATGGGCTTAGTGCCCGAAAATGTGCTTTCGGAAAGAGACAACTAAAATTAAAGCGTTGATACTGAACGACTTACGCATTGTCATGGGTTGGGACTTGTTACCAGTGGGCTTCTGGGGTTGCTAATTACGAAGCTATGTCAGATTTTCAAAATTCAATTTAACATGCCACGAAAATAAAAAAATTGAGAACATCAGCGTTTTTATAAAGAATCGACCAGCGCGTCCTCTAAATTTTTTTTTCGAAATAAAAAAAAGTGCCTTTTTTACCACAAATAACAATAATTTTAGGTAGCGTTTATGAATTTTCAAATAAAAAAATTTAACCACTCTAATATACATAGATAGGTATGTTGTACATACTACGTACGTGTTGCCAATGGATTAATGAGAAAAGTTTTCAATGACAATTAAGAGCGAGTATTCTAAATATTATGAATGGAAATTTTAGTTCTTTGATATTGTTCATGATTTCAGAATTATTACGTTTTAAAATAAGAAATCATTGAGCGCTTACCGACTCCAGCCACATGTATTTTCTTCATCCATGGATATATGATTCTTTCGCCATCTGTTGTTTCTCTCATTAAATCGTCATCTGAATCCGAGTCACCCAAATCATCGTCATTTCCGTTGGAACCCAACTCATCTGGTGATCTATCTAACATAAGACGATCCTCTTCTAGCATGTCATCCTTGAAATATTAATACGGTGCAATAAGTGTTAATATACATATGTATTTTCAACCTGCTATGTATATACATATATACTCATTATTATTTACATTTTCTGAGCCAGTATCATCACAGCGCAGTCTCATTCCCAGCTCTTGTAGCTGTTGGCCCGCGGGTGCAGCTTCCTCAATCCGTTTTTCCAGCTTAAGACCTTAAAAGAGAAAATTTCAGATAAATATTTTAAGTATATATATATTTAATCGAGTATGCATATGAATAATGTGAGTTCCCCTATTAAAAAAATTCCGTTCATTAATGTCTATATAGTCACCTTAATTCACTAACCAACATTTTTTTCAAAACTGCGTATTTTGGTAGGACGTATTAAAATACATCTTCAGTAAAAATTTTAACAATTTAAAAACAAAAAAAAAACAGTTACATGCCACTTTAAAAAGCCCTACCTGTTTTTGATACTCTTTTCATAATGTTTTTTGCTTCTCCTGTAAATTTGTTGGTTAGGGCCTTTGTGAATTAAGGTAGTATGTATGTAAATATGTACACTCTAAACAAAAATTGTGTAGATTTCCTACCTTAAAGGTAGGTTACTGGTTTCTACCTTATTATTCGCGAAATTACGTGCTCGATTATACAACGACTAGTTTATTTAAATTTCGGACATTTTAGAGTGTAATATAGCTGCTGTGGTGTGCATAAATTAACTTCGAAAGTGTGTACAAGCTACAAAATACACATCTGCTCTTTGATTTCACCCGTAAAATTGTGTAAAGCCGCTAACAAAAATGATTTTTACACACGAAAATGTATAAACGATAAAAATACATATTCATCGTGTAAATTTACCAAAAAATTGTAAAAATAAACAAAAATATACTCAATTTATAGTCGCATTTTTAAAAAGATTTTTTAGGGTGTAGGTACTAGATTTTGCCCGCACCAAAACCTTTTTGTATAAAAGGGAAAATATACGACACCAGCTTGCTGGCTCCATCAAGTGATTGTACCATCAGGCTCGAAGCATATAACTTACTAGCATGCTGGTACAATATTTATTTCTTTGCGAATGAGGTCCGGGAAAGATCGAAATGATTAGAGCCGAAATTTCATAATTTTTCTACCATTTTGCTAAACATTGTTTTTTTTTTGTTTTAATTTTTTTAATCTTCCACAAACACAGCTTTGACTCATAATATGCAAGAAATTTCCGCTGAAATACTTTCTACTTAGAAACATGAGCTAATTTCACCACTCACGACACCAGCATGCTCCTACAATCATAAATAGTTTTTGAAGTCACACCAGCAGCTGGTACAATCACACCACAAGAACATACACGGTCAATCGACTTCATGGGCCATTTAACGCTCTATTAGGCCAATTTTTGTATGAGTTGAAAAATTCAGGAATGGGTGAGAGAGAATGGCACGAGAAATCCAAAAATGATGTCCATTTCGATCTGTGACAGTAACTTTTTCCTACAGGGGAGAAAAACAAAGACCGTCTGGAGACGGGCTCACCGATATACATTGGACGTATTTTCAGCTTTCTCTTACACAATGGGTTTTTATATGTCGGCAAGCCGGTCAGTAGACGGTCTGTGTTCGAAAGCAATTTTCTCCATTTCGAATGGTGACCTAATTATAAAACTTATATCAAAATATTGTGCTTTTAACTACGAAACCCACTGAATTTTTTTGTATCAAAAAATGTTTCAAAGGAAAAAATTTCTTTAATTACGAAATTACTTAATAGCAAGAAATAATTAATTTTAACCGAGTCTTTCACAATCTGTGATTCAACTGCCGATTAAAATAAAACGGATTAAAATTTACATCGTCGTAAAGGTACGCTTTTTTTCTAAATTTCGTGCTTTTCGAATACAGAAAAAGATTATTATAGGTGCACTAAATACGTGTTTAGTTAACAACCGTCTGGAGGCGGTTCAGCCTACTAGAGAATTAACAAATTATGCATATATAAAAACGTAAGGAACCTATATATATACATATATGTCCGTCTTTCTTAGTTTAAAAATTCATCCATGATTATAATGGGGCGGCGCCACGCCCATTATCCAAAAGTTTATAATAATCTAATTTCCTGCTAAGTGGTTATTGTAATTATCGATTTTTAGTCTATTAGCTTTAGTAGTTACTGATTTGTCGCAGTTTTCGTGTTTCTGTAAATAACTGTTATATGGGAGGTGGGCGTGGTTATTGCCTGCTTTCAAATATTTTCAACAGATTTATTAGCTAGGCCCTAGGCAAGGCTCGTACCGAGTTTGGTACGGATTTGTGAAGCGGATACTGAGATACAGCATTTCATCATAAGTGAGCGTGGTCACGCCCAGGTTCCAAAAATTTCCCTTGGATAAAGGGAAACCTACGTACCGAATTTGGTTGAGATATCTCAATTTTTACTCGAGTTATCATGTACACGGACAGACGGACGGACAGACAGACATGGCTTAATCGACTTCTCTTTTCATTCTGAGCATTTATGTATACATTTAACACAAACGGCAATAAAGAAAAATTTGCTTTATTTCACTTTTAAATGGGAAATAATCCCAAAATCTGAGTTTTGCTTTATTTCCAACAAAAGTTGGAAATAAAACAAATTTTGCTTTATTTCCCATTGCTTATTTATACTATTTGTAACAAAAACAGTTTACTGACAGAAGGAAAAAGAACTTTGTTTATTCCAAAAATACAATTAAACTAAAAATGTGACATAATCCATAATATTCACAACGTATTTTTACTTATGAAAAGTCTAACAAAATAGGAAAATAGTCATCTTTAATAACTGCTCAGCAAATTGAACATAGCGCTTTTGCATGAATTTTATCTGCATGCTTTTTTAAATTTGTTGGAAACATTGCTGGAAAACCTTAAAATGTTTGCATGCAACCATGGCGCAATAAACAGTGAAGTTATAAAACAGCTTTCTCGCTTTATTTTCTGTCATTCGGCTCCCTTATAGTCAAATTTTAAAGGCAATTTTTCAAATAAGGCAGTGTCAAAATCTTTTTTCTCGCTCTAATTACACGGTCAAAAATTTGGGTTTAATTTTTAAACCGCGCTGGGACTACTGCCTTTTTTAATCTTTTAAAGTCCAAAAAGTTCGTGGTTTAAAAATCAAGCCAAAATGTTTTAATTCTAGATTCTAGGTTTCATATATAGCAAATTGAGTTTAAAATCTAAACCGAAATAGAAAATGTTTGCACACAGCGAAATGTGGTGTTGATTCAAACTCAACATATGAAAGCACATTTACATGCTTGGCTGTAGCTAAGTGTGCAAGGATGCTTGATACAGTTGGTTGCTACCAAGACTGTCCGGGTTCAATCCCCATCAGACCTTTTTATTTTTTATTCTTAATTATGAAAATGTTTGGGTTTAAAATTTAAATCGAACTGTTTAAATTCTAAACCTAACATATGTGCTCTCTTTTTTTAGTCTTCGAAGGTTTGTATTTAAAAAGTTTAAAATTAAAACCGAAATTTTTAACCGTCTACATAACCTGGGATAATTCCGCCATGACATGGAACAAACAAAAGTTTCCGTTCCTGTTCGCAGCATATAACACAGAGAATATTGTTTTGAAATTTATCTTCAGTTAAAATTTCTGCATTATCATCACTTGTTTCACCATATCCAAAATGTGGATTTCGTTCACGCAAAAATATGTAAAATTTTACCTACTCTCAGACTCTAAATTTGAACGTATACTAGGTACAACCAGGTGGTAAGAATGGCGCAATAAACAGGTGAAGTAATAAAACAGCTTTCCCGCTTTATTTTGACATTCGACTGTCTTATAGTCACATTTTATAGGCATGTTTTCAAATAAGGCAGTGTCAAAATATTTCTTCTCACTCTAATATTACTTCACCTGGTATAATTCCACCATGGGTGGGGTGCATGCAATAACACCATACGCAATAATTCCCATTACTTGGACATTAAAAAGCAGTTTCAGAAGTGAACTAGCATCATTTTATTATTATTCTTTTTCTAAACGGTTATAATACCAGCAGAGCATAATTGCGAAAGTAGGGGATGGGGCCGGGGGACGCGAGCGCGAGCGCGAGCGCGAGCGCGAGCGCGATGTCGAACGCGGCGCGGCGCGGCGCAGGGTGGCGCGCTAGCGCAAACGCGGACCGCCGCGACGCTGGGCACTTTCAAAATTGTCTACTTACAAATCCGTCCATTTAACTTGTTCATGTACTACTTTTTGTCGAATGTAACTGGGTGACTACCTACATATCGCACACCGTCTTCAAAAGAGTCACAACTCTTTTTAAACAAATTATACAAATAATTTGCTCCAGCTCTTGCTGAAAGGTAAATAAAAGGTCTGGGTACATTTTTAGCGCATAATTTCAAAAATGCCAAATTTTGAGTTGTGACTCTTTTGAAGACGGTGTGCGATATGTGCACTATTTTGCTTTATTACTCAAAATGTTAAGTTTAAAAGTTGGTCTTATTACTCAACGAGGAATGAAATATGGCAAATTTGTGTTATTTCACATTCAATTGGCAAATAACACAAATTTGCGTTATTGCTGTTTGTGTTATTTCAAACCATTTTAGACCCCTCCGACAATCTCATTGCACTCATAAAGGTCGAAATTTGGTAAAACCCGTTCTACTTGTCGCTCCAAAGGGATATAGGCTTGCGATTCAATAGCGCTCCTTCTCTAGGAATAACGATAATACGATAGAGATACAGATAGAATGACGGGATGGGTTCAGGAAAATTGCATAATTGTTGTCGATAGAGAATATCGCGATGCCACTGAATTACTTGTCCCTCCAAAATCACGCCACACCTCGCCACCCCGTTCAACAAACATACGCAGGTATCTGAAAACAACTCTTTTGTAATTATTCACTACGTTTAAGATCTGCACTAGTCGCATTCTTTGATGGTGACGTACGGTACGGTGCGGTACACTCCCGTACGATTAACAAAAATAAACTAAAAACGGGTTTTGAAAGTATAAATGATGAGCAAAGATGAGAAAGCTTTGGGTGTTTTCGAGAGAACCATTTTACGCCAGATCTATGGCGCTATTCGCTTGGGCAACTGGTGCCGAAGAAGATGAAATGACGGACTATGCGAGCTTTACAATGACATGAACATATTAAGGAGAACACAACGCCCTCATTAATGACGATGCTC